CTATTAAGGATAGAAGTACAAACTTGTGTGTGTGATCTGAAATACAGATGAGTAAAAGCATCCAAATTGCAAATCTAATTGACAAAACCACCCAAGCTGCAAAGACCAAGGGCTTCTCTTTCTTAAGAGTGGCTTTGTCCACTTTGAGCCTCCATCCATGTCTCTTTTGATGGGCTGGTGTCGTTTTGTTTCCCTCTCTCACTGTGACCTGTGCTGCCAGCAGAGTTTAACACCCTGTCGTCCCCTCTAACAGTACCAGGGGAAACCTGCTGAGTCCATCTGGTGAGATTTTGTGAAATTCTCACAAAAACACATTCCCCTCAGTCCTCACTGTGGCGCAGCTGGCGTGCTCCTCGGGGAGTCTCCCGAACTGGCATCGTCCGTGTCCCAGCGAGAACTTCTCCCACCAGCTGTCAGCCTCTTTGTAACGTGGTTTCTGTGTGTCTGGAACGACAGCCTCTCGGAGCATGTGGCTCCAACAATAGCAGGCCTTTTCTGCCACACCCATCTGTAAATGATCTTTCTGTAGAGACAAGGAGACGTAGGGTGAAACAGGTCCCGTTCTCTAAGTGTCGAGAATCACATTTTCTCCTGGGATGTCTGACGGGGAGCAGTGATTTTCTCTGGGTTTCTTCTGTTCTTGGCAGAAAGAACTTGCAGCACAGTCCAGACTGACTGAAGCCTCCTTCGAGTCGTGTTCGCCCCCTGCTGGACGCTCGTGTTTAGACACCAGGAGCAGTTTTGGAAGTCCTTGTGTCTGACAGTCATCGATCCTGCAGCTGCATGCCAGTCATTAGATCCAATAAGCACCACTTAGTGAGTTTATGTCCTAATTGCTGCTTTTAATTGCTCTTTTATCAGTTTGCTTGATTTGTTGCCCTGCAAATGTCGAGAGGAGTTAAAAAAAATGAATCTATTCAGCTATTTTAAAATCGTTGCTTGTGGATAAGATGAGTTATTAGGTGGGCATTGCAGACCACTAATCCCTCTCTGGCTAATATTTAAAAAGGCCTCTCCATGCTGTTTACTCTGAGTTCCAGTGAATCAGTGCTGTTATGTAAGATACAGAATTATTTAGGTTACTTTTGAGGCAGTCAGTCCTGCCTCATTTGCACAAAGACATGAGCCATTAGTGTCACACGTTTATACATATTGTTCATTTTTCTGGTTTTAGAAGATTTCCTGCTTTTTTAATTATGAAGGTTTAACATCTTAAGTTTCAAAACGTAACCGCAATTAATCAGTCAAGTTTGTGGTTTGATCTCCTGGTTACATGTTGAGGTGTGTTTACAAATTTAATCTCACAAATAGTCCTAAAATGTGTCAGTATGTTATTAATAAAAGTACGATATACTAAAATGTGTTGATGAGGGTTTTTTTTCATACTGTAAAACATTTTGGTTGATCACTGCACAGAACTGTATAAATACACTAGAAATAAAACCTGAGTGCTGTTTTGTAGCTCTCCATCACCTGCAATCAAAACGTGAACAGTTGGGAATAACGTTTTTGTCTTATTTGCATGGGTTTCAGTGCCTGTCTGTTAGCAGAATAACTCACCAAACGCTTCCCAGATTTTAATAAAACTTTCAGACACTAATCATTAGTGTACTTCTACATCTGGTTGTATTTTGGAGTCACATTGTTTCAAGGTGGCCGCCACAGACAAGTGACCTTACAAAACACAAAAATTTATATAACTCAGTCGGTTTTACAGATGGTGAGCTAAAGCTTGGTTTGGCCAAAGCTGAGACCGATCCCCAACACATATGCTGAGCACAAGCAAATTGTTCAAGCATCTTTTTTTTAAATTGTGCCTTTAACTGTTGAAGTCAGCACTCGCTGTCTGTTAGCTAAATATCTCATTAACCACTGGAAGGATTTTAGTATAACTTTCAGAATTTAATCATTGGAAATACTTCTATAACTAGTTAACTTTTGGGGCCAGCTCATTTTAAGATGGCCGCCAAGGCCAACTGACTTTAGAAAAAAAATTTGGCAAATTTCAGCTGATTAAATGGTTTGAAGATTATTAGGTTAGTAATAATAACAGGTAATTAAATTATATTAGGTCATATTTGATTGGCTTAACAGTTAGTGCATTTTAAGCTTGACCTGAATATGGGTAAACAAGCATTCAAAGTAAAAAAAAAAAGGGATTTTTGAAAGCTTGGAGAATTATTGATGATTATAAATGATTTCGAACAAACCTGTCTGCTTGGCAGAGGTGTCAAGTAGCAAAGTACAAATATTTCATTTCCTCACTTAAGAAAATGTTTGGGTTATCTAGGCCAGTGTTTTTCAGCCCTGGTCCTCAAGGCACACTGTCCTGCATGGTAGAGGTTTCTCTGCTTTAACACACGTGGTTCAGATGATTACAGTCCAACAAAACCTGTTAATCAGTTATCAACTGAAATCATCTGTGTTGAAGCAGGGAAACATCTAAAACAGTGGTTCTTAACCTTTTTTGAGGCACCGAACCCACCGGTTTCATATGCGCATTCACTGAATCTTTTTTAGTGATAAATAAAATATGATTTTTTTTCCAAATTCAAGATATGTTTTCTTTTTACTGGTGTATAAAATGAGCCGTGCATGAACATCACATTGCTCAAAGAACAAAACCAACACAGTGCATGAACTCACAACAAATTATAGTATGACTTTATTCTACTGGTGTATAAAATGAGCCGTGCATGAACATCAC